GCTGCGATGCAACCGATGAGCCGAGTTGAACACGCCTCGATCATGCTATGGGACCCCATCGTGAATTTTAAGCGATTTCGTGATATTAATAATAAGCATAATTGATTCAGCGTCGATCATAGTCTGTCAACAGCAGCCAAAATGCATGGCGAGTCGAAATAATCATAATCAAGATCTTTCTTCTCTTTATTTACATTTTATACATCTTATAGAGTTTCATGCATTTACAGAGAATTAAAAGTTGTAAAAATCCATGCAATATCAATGAGTATATAAAATATGCCAAGTATAGTTGCTTTCTATAATAGCTGGTAAGTGAAACAATTTTTTACCGAGGTTCTACTTTTCAAAATTATATTCTCGAAAATATGGATTTGCATAAAAATTCATAGTCTACGTATTGGTATATAATCGTACTAGGTTTTATATTACATGACCTTATCAGATCATTTATTTGACGTTATCCAACAGCTAGTGCTATATAGTAATTAAGTAACGTTTATTAATCGAAGAAAGTGAAAGAAAGGAACAAGCATTGCATTTTTAAGAGCATTGTTAGTATGTTTGAAAGTATATAGATAATCGTAGACTGCTAGTTTCTTATCATATCTTAATTGTATTCTAAGCTTTCACTTTAATTGTTGATATCGTTATCAAATAAAATGCGGCATTATATCTCTCTGTGTATTTCGTTACATATCTACCCTGCTATTGTCACTTTTATGAACGAGATTCTAACGACCATAATACTATACCTGTGTTACTATAGACAATTGTAAATCTTGTAAGTCTTGTTCCAGAAATACTCTTCCGATGATATAGAACAATTGCAAGAATTTTCATTAATCTCGTATTGTCAAAAAAATCTCGAATCACATCTACCGCAATATTCCCACGAAGACTCACTAATATTCACGTCGCACTATCAAAAGTGTTTTCATCGGATTATGTGAGAAATCTCAAATTTCTTGAACATTTATCTTCAACATTTATTTATTTATTTATTAAACGAACGTTAGCCCCATAATACGTATATACGTAGTAGTAATAAGTAGAGGAAAATAAAATTAGGAATTATAAAATTGCAAAGTTACGAAAGTACGATAGAACAGAAATACTTAAATAAAACACGAGGAGATATTACATTATGACCGTGCAAGCATTGAATATCGTAAACATCGAACGTCTAAAGTTCTGAATCTTTGTTGTACCGAAATATACGATCCTTACATTGTCACAAAATCTCGAATCACAGCTAAACTTTTAAACTGAAATTCGTCATAAATATATGTCACGTTCCAGGAATTCTCGTTCGCGCTGCATTTAGGAGAAGCAAATTCTAAAAAAAAATCCTCGATTCGCACCACAGTGAAATTTCGAAGTAAAACGTCGACTATCGTTGCTATAAAAAAATCCCTTGATGTTTATATCGCATCGGTAGAATTCTCGTCAAATTCTCAAAGAGATTCGGTAGATCGAAGGTATAATCAAGTTTCCATCTAGAACTCTCGCTATTGTTTCTACAAAGGATCCTCAAGTGCCGAAAAAATGTTTCACCGCCGGCCCGATCATCTTCCAAGCTAACGTCCCTACAAAAATTCTTCAACGTCTGTGTCATAAAGTCGTTCGATGCGCGATGTTGCAAATCGAAATCCCAGTTTCACAGTGAATCACGACCGCCTAACCTTTTCGTGAATCACCGGTCTGAAAAGAGAAAGAAGAGAAGAAAAGGACTTACTCGACGACAATAGGAGCCCCAGCGTGACAATTAAGAAAGCCATGACGAAGAAGGCAACTGTCACTTTTCACTGTGAGTGGATGGTGTCGAGGACCGACCCAAGTTCTGTCGATTCAACGATATGTTAACTTAGAAATACGAATACTCTGTTACGGTCGGTGGTCGACTGAGCGACTGCCGGCTTGTCGACTATGTTAAATAAGAGACCACCACTTTTATTTTGCGGTAGCCTATCGACTCTGCACAAATTTATATACCGGCTAGTGGAGACGAAGAAGCGCGGATGATGGCCAGGTAAACGCGATATCGAGAAAGTCAGGAAGGGGAATAAAAGGCTCGATGGTGATTTTTGATGATTCACTGGCCCTCGAACCGATATCTCGAAACAAGCAGAATTTAAAGAAATTGCGATAGAGACACGGTTTCTCAAAACTTGTTTCAGCTTCCTTATTCGGCCTGATTCAATCACTCGATTGTTTATTCCCTTTTCTGGTTGTAAACTAAATAGAATGATACTGTGGTAAATGGTACTGTTGTCTGCGGATTATGATAATTCGTATCCGTGAAATTCAGATTTTATTTAGCCACTGTATATACGCAGTTTGTTCGGTTTCTGTGATATTTGCAATCCGGTTCGTTTGCTATAGAATTGGCATGTACCGATTGCACCGAGTTAAAAATAGTAATTTAATTACGAACGTGTTATTTCGTAACAATAAGAAAAAATGTTTCATCGAAAACTAAAAGTGTATGCACTCCCTGTATATAAGATCGACATTATTTGATTAAAATTTAATCTATATGTATACCTGTATGAAGCATGTCCTCTTTAATAGTTTATTTGTTCTTCCTTTTCATAGTTTCTGCGTACATAATATCGTTGCAATATTTTATGCTAATTTACGATAGTTTGTTCTACTTATTATATATCAAAGCTTTCTACGTAAGAATAAATTTAAGATAATACCATAATTTTGCGAATTTCAATACTTCCTCGCTTAACTATATTTCAAAAAGGCATTGTACTTGACAGTGTAGATATTCTATCTCAAACGTTGCAAAATGTTATTAATCTATAACATCTGTTCTGTTTACTTCTCAAAGATATACTTGGATGTATCTTACTCGAAATATTAAACGATTAAATTGCTTTTCCTCGGGCCCAACGAAAAGACCACTCGTGCTGAAGACGTTCGTGACATACGTGAGCCATAGCTTGCGGTACTTTAGAAGCACGTAAGAACCCATTACTGCATTTTGAATGTGTCAGCTTCCGTTTGGTCAGATTGCTTCCGCTTACCATTTTCCTCGTGGTTTCCAGTTAGAGATTTTTTTAATTTTTCTACAGCTTCATCGATTATATTCGATAATTTTACTTATAGCGTTCAGGGCTTATTAAAGAAGAAGTTTCATATATTTTATTCAACTGGTACGTGTTAAACACTAACAGAAAAAATATTCAATAAAACTTGATTCATTACTATCACGTATTAAACATTAGCAAAAGAATATTCGATAAAATCATATTTTTTAAATTAATTTATGCGATATATTCGAACTTTCCAGGTTACTAGATCAACATGTGCTAAAATTGTTACTGTAACTAATGAAAACGTCAAATGTACGTTGTCAGCGGCGATTCGTTGTTAACCGGAAAAAAAACGGTATAGTTGGCAGAACGCTTAGGTAGCTGCAATTATTGCAAAGGTATTTATTAGAGTACGTATATTTGCTTTCGTGTTGAACCTTACTTGTTAGCAGTATGAAATATCGACGATAGTTAGAGCTACTTCAACGAAACTTTGAAATGTTTGACGAAGGTCGCCTCGTTTGATACGTTTCGGAATAAAAGTTTCAAGAAAACCGCCGCTAGTTTCTTCGACTCGATTTCGCAAGCATTATGCAACGCGCACATATAGAATTGTTATATTTGAAGTAATGTTTCGGCTATTCGGTCGGAAAGAAGACAAGGGCAAAGGCGAATTCCTTCGCTTGAGGTCAAAGAGATAATCATTTTAAAATGACAAGAATGGCTATGACGCGATTTATACTCTTCAGCATTTTGATAATTTTCTGTTTTATCGCTCCAAGTACCGTCTCGAGACAATGCCTTGGCATTTCGTAAAACAACGACGACATGCATTCGATTGATTTAAGAATATGAAGAATATAAAAATATAAATAAATAGAAATAGAAAGAACGGAAAGGATATCCATACATAATTTGTTTCATAGAATGTTGAATTAAAGGTAAATAAAGGAGCAGGAGCAACGTTTCATTAAATGGGGCAAATGATAATGTGCCATAACACAATTATAAAAACGTAGAAAAAATAAAAGATTATCCTTATCGATGTGATTTCTTAATATTGATTTTAAAAGATTGTATAATTTAATTAAAAACGTTTCCATTATGTTAGATAAGAAGATTGAGATCGATTTGGTGATACAATCTTGATTCACAAATTCAGAATTGATAGTGTGATCCATATTTTTCAGAATCATTGACTGACGCTTTGTTCCACTATTTATCCAAGTATACGCCACGCAAAGGCATCCCGTATACAAAAGGATATGGGAAAAATCTGCATCATCTATGAGACGACTAGGCCCTTGCAGCAAGGTCAACTCTTTCCGAAAAGGAGAACAATCGGTGTTAGCCAAGCGATGTTTGTATTTCGCAGAACAAACCACACTTTTAACTCTTTAACAAGTTATTAATTAATCAAGCGGTAAATGCATTCTTCTTTGACAAAGACGGCCTGCAATTCGAGAGCTCTATGCCTTCTTTACAAAAACATTAGAAAACATTTATTTCTATTGCTAATAATTCATAGAGAAGAAAAATATGCCATAATTCGAAAAAGATTCATTCTTGAGTGACAATAAGACGATTATGTATATGATAGATCGGGCAATTCTATATCTTTTCATGTCGTGCGTTATCATATTATAATGTTTTAAGATGTAAGCATTAGTATATCTTACAATGGCTTAGTTGGTTTACAAGAAAGTTGACCTCAGCTATTCATTTAATCTCGTGAGATTTTTAATATGTACATTGTATTAGCATGTACATAAAAAAAAGACAATAGGATTGTACGATAAGGATGTCCTAATATTTTATATATTAATAAGTTATACGCGATTTTATATATCGTAGAATACCCCTGCCAAATGATAAATAATTTTACAGTTAAGTATAGATATAAATATAGATTGATTGAATTATACATGAAATTTTATATTGTATGAAGATATATGTAGATAAAACTTGCTTATTTAATATCTCTTAATATAGAAAATATTTCCAATATTATACAATTTTAACAATAAAAATCTCTATCGACAAAATTCCCTCCAATTTTATGACTTTCTGATCTATTTATTGCAAAAACAAAACTATATACCTAGAACAATTATTGACCAAAATTTAAACAACAAATTTTTTACCTTTTGTTTTTCTCTTCTTTACATTGTTATTAATAGTTTAATATTTACATAATGTTCGATATACATTAAATTAGGATGTTAATCATCTAAACGCATTCCTATAAAAAAAACAAAAGAAATTATTATTTACTGCATTTGAGCTTAGATCAATTATAATGTTTTAATAATACGTACGTTTCACTTCCAACATTAATCGAAATTCCAAATTGGATCACATAACCCTGGTTATGGGGCTGGCACCCTTTTCAAATTTAAATTACGCGCTCTTTTCTTGATTGGCGCAATCTATAGATGTCGCTGGCGTAGCTTCGAAGATGAAAATTTTTACGAGTTTCTCTCCTATACACGACGCTACTATAGGTATGGGTACATCTACCGCTCAGAGTGATCCTTACCTTCACAGATTGTGGAGTAGCCATTACAGTGCTGTTGGAATAGTGTGCGTTGCGAACTAGCCTGTCAGTCGACCAATCAAGAATCGTTCGTGAGTCGGTGGGTAAGTTTTCACGAAATGTGAGAAACCGTTGAACGAAGTGACGATACTACGGGATACACACATGTACATTTGGTCGCCGTCGTCGTCGTGATAGTCGTCATCGTCGACGTCGGCGTTGATTGTGCGCTGATCTTGATTGTAGCCATGCGAAACTAAGCTGATTCGCACCAATAGAACCAAACCATATACACATTAAAAAAAAAAGAGAGAAAGTAAATAATAAGAATTTGTCTCGTTTAACCGAACCTTGTTTGCGAGCAAGACAGCTTCGTAAGATAGTGACATCGTTATCCTTTATTCTGGTATTTATAGACCCAAAGCCGATGCACTCGATGGTGATTTTCTGAAGGTGAAAGAGAGAAAACAGGTCCCGAGATAAGTAACGGAAAAGAAGCATTTCTTCTTCGCTGCACGCGCGGGCTTTTTTCCGGGTACGGATTATACGTGTGTGAGTGCGCCATAGTTACACGAGTTATATTCAATGTAAGACGGAAAGAGAGAGGTATATAGAAAAGCAGGAACGAACGAGAGTGATAGGGATACTTGAGACGAAACGAGAAAGCTTCGATAGTGAAACGAAGTGAGAACGAGAGCGTTAAAGCAGGGGTCGTGAGGAGAAGGAAGGGATCTCCGTCAAAATGTCGCTGAAAACACCAACGCGAATACAGTGATTGCTTTTCGTCGTTTAACAGGGGGTATGTGATCTTCCTCCACTTCGTTCGATTCATTCTTTTCATATTCTCACGATGATCCTTCTTATTGGTTTACGTTTAAAAATACATACAATTTCCTCGACTATTTCATTGAAAGATAGAAAAGTCATAGATGCATCGATTGCGCACGGTCACCCGGTTTCCCTCTGTTTGTTTCCATCGGGCTTTGTATAACTTTGTCGTGACTGTGTGCATAACACGCAACGGCCATCTCGTTACAGTAGTGAGCATAGATATCTCCTGTTTATGCCTATCTACCTGTATTTTTCATTTCTTGGTTATCGTACATACAATTCGACCAAGATATTCGGCAGTCACACTCGTACCTCCGATGCACCAAGTACTCGTCCGTTGCTAAACTGGTCGCTAGTCGCATACCATTCAGGTACCTTTTTCAATTCGTCAGTTTGATTCCTCTTGGAGGAGCTTCCAGTCCGATCTCGGGAATTTTAGTTTCCATTTTGTTTCAACTTTTTTCTTGGATTTTTTTGCTTTCACCTTTGCTAACGTTCGTTGTTTTTCGTCCTTTGAGAACCGATGAAAATAACCGAGGCATACGTGAATCTTCAAGATCCTAGGTTACATTACGAATTTGTCTTTTCTCGCTATCACGTAGATATTTCATCGTATCAAAATCTTACGTGTCTCTTTTAACACGATCGTTCTTGGTTATTTGGTTTTTCGGAATTTCTTCTGGGAAAGCATAAAAGTGCACCAGCGGGAAATTTTGTTATATTTAGCGTTATAGAAAATAACATTTTTTCTCATGGTTGATTTAATATTATTCGAATTGATAATTTTTAGTAAGCTTGAGAAATTTTACAATTGAGCAATTGGTGTAAATAAATGAATGTCAGAATAAAATCTAATTGTTTATTCAAGCAATGCAACTGTAGTGTTCTTTGAAAATACTGGAAGAATCTGTGCATGTATATGAGCATAATTTGTTTTGAAGCTAGTGATTTTTTAAGTGCAATTTATCTGTTAACAGGTATATTGTTTACAGTATCATTAACCATACTATCCTTTTATTACATTATGAATAAATTATTTTCTAACACCACTGAGTTCAAATGGATATTCTCCTATTCTTTTTCTTTATATATTCTGATAATAATTTTTGTATAAAGATAATTTTTACTCATAATGAATTTTGATTTTAGATTTTGGTGGAGTTGATCAGCTAAAAGTACCAAAATTATGGTGTCAACTCGTCAGTCAAGTAGTATGGGTGGAAGTAATGGAGGTGGGCCGGCTGCTGAAGTTACAGATGTGAATTCATCCAGAAGACAACAATCTGTAGCAATGACTAGCTCATATACCGGACCATCTGTTTCGGAGCCACCTCCTTATAGTAATTTAAACCTCCTTGATTTACCAGTTGAAATCCTTGACAAGATTTTTAGCTATTTGGATTACAATACAGTGGCTCATTTACGTCCTGTAAGTCAAAGTCATGGGATGAAATGGTTATATAACTTGTAAAATTTTATACACGATGTTTTCTTGATGTTTATAAGAAATATATGTTCATGTCACATTTATTTTTTGTAGGTTTGTCATCAGATGGATCGTGTTTGTGGATCGATATTGAATTCTACTTTTCAAAAGCTTCAGGCACAAATGCTGAATCGTTTTCAGGCAATTAAAGCACAGATGCCAAGGCGTGAATCTGCACGCCGTAATCACCCATTAGCTTGTGAATCAGATATTATTGAAACCCTTCATATGCGTCTTACCTTGCTCCAAATGAGTTTTGGAAAGCACATTGAACGTAAACATTGTTGTTTTTTTCCTGGAGAGGTAAATGAAATTCTTCTTGCTAGTTACAAAAACAAAAATATGCAATGTATAAATTTATATAAGTTCCAATTTTTAATTATATTTCAGATTTTAGATGAAGTTAATCGTATTTTACATTATATAAGAGTTACTCCAAAATTAGCCAGACCATACAAAGTTACAGATGAGTTGTTTGATTTAAGTACTATGGCTATGGAGTACTTTAAAGAACGTATTGAACCAACATTACCAGAAATTCCCTACTTTGGAGCAGATTTCTTAGATCTTGCTGGGACATTTTCCTGTGAGCAAACAACACAAATTTTAAGTTTCCTAAAACGAAATTAATGAATTGCTTTATATAGTAATTTTTGCTTTTAATTGTACGTTTTTGTATACGATTTATTTAAATGTTACAGCTTCTAGTAATGTGAACAAGCCATTCATGTGCCTAGACTCTGCACCTTTAGCTGTTGGAACTGGTAAATCAGGAAGCAATAGTGGAGAAGGTTCCCCCCCACACTCCTCAGATGAGCCCGGTCTCTTAGAGTCTAATGTGTCACCTCCACAGTCGAATATGGTGTTACGAAAACGTATTCGTAAAATTAAACAAGGCATGAAGCGATATAATAGTCAACTAACATTAATGCGTAGAGATTTGAGGAATTGCAAAGCAAAGATAGCAGAACAACAGAAACAGATTGTTGAATATGCTACACGTCTTGATGAAAACGACAAGAAGAACGAGGAAACCTCCCGTAAATTTAGCACACTCCTACAGGTATTTACTAAGGTACTCTTAGTACTTGTAAGAAATAACACACAACAGAAAAGATATGTGCCAGTCTGGCTAAAAATATTAGTTGAACATATCTAAAATCCAAAATGAAATTTCTAATCATTCGTATGTTTCTCTATTACTTCATAGTTTATGAAATTGTGATTGTATATTGCATAGGAATTGAACAAGTGTAAAACAGAGCTTCAGTATTGGCGATCTAAGTCTCCGGCGATACCCGTATGTGTAGTCTGTGGGCAATCTGTGTTAGTCCCAACGGAGGATTTACAAGCTTTAACAAATCAAGGTGTATTACCAGAAACGCTTGATGAAGGATTAGACTTCATTCCCATAGCGGATGCACAGAGCCTTACCGAAGTGGCACCACAACCACCAGTTACACAACAACCATCGTCACCACCACCACCAGCGCCGCCACAACCAACCGTAGAAATGGCACCACCAAAGGCTCCTGTGCCTTCACTACTTTCAAAACGGAAATCCACCACAGAGGAAGCACCGAGTGACGCTGGAAAGAAACCTCGTCGTACTGCCAAGTCACGCCAGGTTAAACGCTCGAAGATATAAATCGATACTGATCATGGTACAAAAATATCTGTGTAAACATCTTTACTGGGTTCTTGAAAAAGGTTTTTCTATTTGGAGTAACATGTTCCTTTACGCTAGCGAGCGAATGATCTTACAAAGAGAGATACTGGGGCGCGATGCTAATTTTTCTATAAGCTTTTCCGTAATGATGGATTTTAAAATATTGAAATATAGTACTCGATTTTGCGGATAAATGATTAATATTTCCAGTTCTATCATTACACAAAAGCTGATCGAAAAATCAGTGTTATACCTCGTGCCTCTCCTTGTTAGAAAAGTACAAAATTCTTTCCTGAACGTCCTGCATTTCGCGCAACGAGCCTCGTTTTGACAAATTCTAGCCATGTTGGTTACCGCGCGAAGGGAATTGACGCGATTAATTTTCCTATTTTATTACGGACGGATTTGTCACACACCGTGGCGTCTACAAATATTCTAAATGATAGCTGATCATTCGTGTCGTTCGTAAAGCAACAAGAGCGCTACTTTTTTCGAACCCGTTTAATTATTATTATTATCGTGACGGTATATACAAGGAGAACGGAAGGGTTGAATTTTGCATAAAATGTTTATTTTACAATAATATTACGCTAATAGAGCAGATTAAATGTCATACGGCGACAAGCAAGAATTCACCTTCTGTATTCCTTGATTACAAATCATGCACTGATTTATTATTTACTTTCTAAACGTTTCTAACATAATTTTATTGTCGTAATATTTTGTCCTTAACAACTTAATTTAATACCTACTAGACAATACACAAGAACAAATACAGAAATGGAAAATTTGATAATCGAACAAAGGAAAAAATATATTCTTTCTATTCAAGTCGCGAAAATTCATCTTTCTGTGTACTTTACTATTTGTTACAATTCTGAATTGAACAAAAATTATCAAATTTGATGAATTTTGTTTCAGGTAGGCAAGAGGATATTCTTGTCTTTGTAGAAATTTTTGTATAAAATTTCGAGTGGACATTAGACATGATTCTAGCAAATTTTGTTTCGCAGTATCAATGAATAAGTACCTGAGAGGACTGAATGAGACTAGTTCGCGCAGGTACTCCAAGTTCATCAATATTCATATCAATTTCTGTCTAATTTATCTAAGTCTGCTCAATTAAACAACAAAAAAAGGAAAAGAAAAGAAAAATAATTTTTCTATGAAAATGGTTTGCGCACCATGTTGTGTTATCAATTCAAGCCTCAAAATGAATAGAAAAGTCAAAGGTTTTGAAAGCTGAATTGCTTTTGCATAATGACATGTGATATATCAATTTATGTTCTTTCTTGGCTGTTAAAGCAAGTACGTGTAATTAAAAAGATTAATTTAATAGAGCAGCTCACCCTAGATGAAATCAAAACATTTGTAATAATATGAAGTTTTGTGAGCCTTAAAAAAATACGAGGTTAGAGAAAAGGTGGAAATATGTTGAAATATCATAATGGATGTTATTTTGTTTTCAACTCGCCATCGTTCAAACATGTGAGTTTCTTCACGAGATGGTGTATATTGCAATATTAATAGCGCTAGGAAATAATTTATAGGATCAATTATTTATAGGAAAATTATTATCAGATTATTTTTAAAAACATTTTCCAAACATCAGTTTCTTAATTTATCAGTCATATCGACTAAAAGAGTAATTACAAATTTCACCCCACGTTCTTACAAAAAAGTGAAAAATACAATGCCAGAGAAAGGAGTGAATGATTATTGAGATCAATAGTTATTAAATCAGATCAATAAAAAAGTTCGTGATTATGCAATTTCTTTTAAAGTCGGACGGACTACCGTGCGCGATGCTCGATGATCGGACTGCGTAGATTCAATTGATTAATATTATTTGCACCAATCCTAATTAATCTTAAAGAATTGTAGTTTGAAATATTGTGAGACATGTAGAGTCATGAATCATCAATTCGTGATTCTAGTAATAAATATAAAGGATACTGATAATAAGTAAAAATGATACTTTATTATAAATATATAAATATATATATATGAGTGCGGTACTTGCCAGGATATGCATACCACACAGAACAGTTTAGTTTAAACTTTAATGGAACAATAAGATATAATAATTAATTAATGATGAAATAATTATCGAAATATATATAATTTTTTATCGATGTCGAAAATTAATTAGGAGAAAAAAAAGGTGGGAAAAAATGAACTTAGCGAACGGACGGGATGAGTACGTCACGAACATGCATGTATGTGAGAAATTGTGCGAGAGAAATGTAAGCGCGCGTGATATATATATATATATTAAAAATACTAAATTCAAACTTAATGAGAATTTACGATGTGATGCTTTATCGATTTAACTGCGGGAAAGTGACCTTTATTCAAATAAAATACATGTAGGGCGTTTCTGGCTACGAAAGAAATGATTGAAAAAGAAAACTCAAGAAATGAAATAAAAATGAAAAAATGTGTGAATTTTACTTAATGTTATGTTGAATAGGATTGCGGGGGCGGGCGTAATTAAGTCATTGTGTCGGAAATTTCGAAATGCTTGCATTGTATGCTTATTATCGCGAATAGTAATACGTTTTGACGGATTAAATAGTAAGAGGAACGAAAAACGATAAAAAAGAAAAAAAAGAAGAGAAACACGAACGAATGAAAATATGAAAGAAAACTGTGTAACGAGAGTCACATTTTACGTGAATATAATCTAGGCCCCTGAATGTAACAGCATCCTGTATACAGTCTTCAGAAGAATTGTATTTATGAATCAATAACTAAATGTACTCCCACTGAAATATTTACACTTCCGATGATACACATTGCCAGTTTATGGTCTTAAAATAGTTTAACAGTCATCGGCTTTCCGACATTATCCGTCCCCGAACGATACAAATGTAGCGTTGTGTACTACATATATGAATCTACTAAGGATATACAATCGAATATAACAATGAATACACAATTTAGAGGTAGAATAATTTCCTAATTAGTAGTACTGTGCATTGTTAACAATGCGAGCACAGAAACGATAATTTGTCGATTTTCATTCATCATGATTAAAAAAATCCGAGGACCATGGTTTGTTTGCAGTATATCTGTGTATTAGCAGGTTGAATGGTCTCCGGGTCACAAGTACACAATAAGCAATTTACGAAGGAGAATACGATATACGTGTACTTTGAAAATTTACACATATGAGGAGGAAGTGTATAGGAATATAATTGCCAGCGTTACGGCCCGAAACGTCGTACCGCCGAAAAAAAATGAGTTATCATAAATGATTTTACGTGTATTAAAGCGATTGTAAATATATATATTAGATACACCTTATAATAAACGTAATTTAACATAAAAAGAATTACTCTTGTGAATGCATTCTATTTTGATTATGTATAAGAAGGAAAGAAGTAGAGCAAAGATATTAAACTTGCTCCGATTGAAAGTTGATGGTTGACTGTTCCGATTGGTCTAATGCAACCTTGACTTTCATTTTCGTCTGCTAGGCGAGCACGTGGCTTCGTTTGACAGTTTGTACTATCTTTGTTTCGATAGGTGGCGACCCTGCTTGTTCCACTGTCGACTATTCTCTCAACAGTTGGATTTCCGTCGAAGATGGCAGTATCCACAGACAATAACGTTATCGTTACGAAATGATGTTTATTATGGAATCGTGATCGTGTTTCTGATAGACATAAGAAGTCTCTCGAAGTCAGTGTGTGTTCGTTAATGTGATAATTTATCGATCGGATCTTTATGGATATCCGTGATTTGTTACGATATATTTTTGGCATATCTTACTTGTTACAACTGTGTTGTAACCTTCCCACGTGCGCGTTCTAATTACATTCGATTTCTTCCTTTCCAACAAATAAATTGTTGACACGATGGCAGATACATTGCACAAAGATAGATACGAAATCTGTGAGTGGAATCATAATTTATATCTTTAGTTTTATCAGTTTGTCCTTTACCACATTATCTTGCTTTCATTTGATATTATCTGATATTATGCGTTATTGTTTAATGTTTTTAACGTATTATTTTCTGTTTTAAACGTTTCCTTATTCTAAAATGTAAGCGATTTGTTCCATATTGAAATGTAATATTGCAAATTATATTTGATGTATTTTATGGAAACAGCAAATTTAGCAATGCGCAGTGGAGGTAATATAGGAGGAGATAGCGATATGAAGCTGGAACCATCTAGTCCTACAGAAAAATATACTTTTTCCCGTTGCAGTAGTACCGGGTCAGTGAATACACCATCCTCATCTGCTCATAATACAGGTAACGAAGTAAAAAAATTTGTGAGAATAAACTATTTAAAAAATAGCAATAATTTACAAGTAAATTTAATGAAATTAATTGCAGAAGATGAAGATAGTGATAATAAAAATTCAACTATAAGTTACAAAGAACGCAGGAGAGAGGCTCATACGCAGGCAGAACAGAAAAGGAGAGATGCTATCAAGAAGGGATATGATTCTCTTCAAGATTTGGTTCCTACTTGCCAACATACTGATTCTTCGGGTTATAAACTTTCCAAGGCTACCGTACTTCAAAAATCCATTGATTATATACAATTCTTATTGCAACAAAAGAAAAAGCAGGAAGAAGAACGTAATGCATTGAGAAAAGAAGTTGTTGCCTTACGTATCATGCAAGCTAATTATGAGCAGATTGTGAAAGCTCACCAGACCCAACCAGGTCATGCAGAAATGCGAGTATCCGATGAAACCAAATTCCAAGTGGTAAGATTAAACTATACAATTTAATCATTCCATAAAATTAAGTTTTGAACTATTTTATCTTGAGAATATTCCACTATTTATTGTTATAGTTTCAGGCAATCATGGATCGTTTGTTTCAAACATTCAATAATATTTCAGTAGCAAATTTTGCAGAATTATCTGGATGCGTATTCAGTTGGTTAGAGGAACATTGTAAACCTCAGGTAAGTAAATTATTTCTCAAATTATCATCTTTCTGGTAATAAACATACATCATTCAATAAACATAATTCAAATATTTCAGACTTTGCGCGAAGTAGTACTATCCGTACTCCAACAACTTAATAGCCAAATCAGCTAGTCGAATATATTATTAGACCATTTGTGGTTGCACAATATTTCAAACCTAAAACATTTTCGCGGGTACTTAGACCAATTATTAAGTAGAGTTACCAGAAAGGATGGGAGTATGTGTGTTGTTATACGCAATGCGGGTAGCATAATGATTGTGCGAGAAATATAAATAGAAATTTATTTTATATATTAATATTATAGATTTAGACACAGCCATATAATATGGCATGCCGTTTGTTGGTGACCAAACTATGTTAAATATTTTTAACAGAGATTTTTTATTACATGATGTTTGCTGCATATATATAATACACAATGTATGTATATACATATATAAATGTATTCGAATATGTACATAATACATTAATCTGCAACATAGAATAGTTTGAAATAAAAATGAAATTATGTCCGTTTATACGTCGTATTTACAATCATTAATGAAAAACGTGAACGACATATTCTTTAAATGCTCCTATTTTCTGTTTGATTAGTTTTCTCCTAAGATTATCGATTTACGTTCAAGAAGTTAATCCTTGATATAAATTTCATATCGCGTATAGTTTCTTTTGATTAAACTTTCTCAGATTCAGTAGGCATACTTTCTCCTTGCGTAATATCATTTAATAGCATTGCCTCCAATCTGGGTCTGTTAGGATCATCAGGTTCATGGTGAGGGCTCTGGGCACGTCTCCTTTTTGATCTGTCCTCTGGTCTACAGCAGAGATCTCGGAAGATACACGCGTAGCAGGCTAGCAATGCGCTCATCATCATTAAACCGCCAATTGCAAGAATCACCACTAAGAATATCGAAATTTCGTCCCCCATGTTATATTTCGGATAGTGTTTTGTTAGCTAATGTTTACACCATCTGCAACAGAAATTTATTCAAATCAAATTTTCATTAGAAAATATTATACATTATTTTTTAATTTCTAAGGGCAATTGTCACAACACAATCTTCAATGTTGTACTATCTAACTTTTAATATGAATACATGTAACTCGTGACCTGATTTTCAATTCTTACGAATAAATCACCAGAGTTGGTCTGAAGAATTTAAATAATTTTCAGTGAAAATGAATTCGTAGGACGTTTGAATACATCACGATTTTTCTATAGGTAGCACGTGAGCAGAATAGTCATTCTTCACCACTGTTCTATTCGATGTTCAATTCTTTGATATTGAATAGTTGAGTCCAGAGCGTAGTCTATTAAGAAGAAAAGAAAAGAAATGATGCAATTAGCAACAAAACATTAAATCGTCAATCATATCGTAATTGCTTATCCTATTCTTTATTTGTCTTTTTAGAAAAAGGAAAAGATTTGTATACATACATCGGACATTTGTATATTATATATAAAACAGACGAAAAAATGTTCTCATATGGAAATCTGTCTTCTTCTTAAAAAAGGAGATTCCTGGGTACGAAACAAGAGGATCAATCCATGCTTCATATAATCCAATTTATTCCTGGATAGTCACGTACGTGCGAAAAATCGTTGAGCGGATTACTCCCGTATGAGTGTTCCATATTGAGCGTAATTTAGAGGATGAAAAATCTCATACGGGCTGCGTATGTTTCTTATGAAACAATATCTTGTCTCTTATTGGCAGTATGATCGGTGAAAAACGATCGGAATATGTATATCTCTGAAGAAGCTTCCGTTGCAATTTCTCATTCTCGTCTTCGGAGAGGCAGCGATTTTATGATGAAACTCTTGCTTCGACTCAATAAAATCCTTATGATCACATTCGTTTTACAAGAACCTAACGAAGCGAGAGATCGTGCGATAAAAATCTGTCAAATATCGTTAATTCTAAAACATTTTCTGTTACAATCAGTTCTGCTATCGAAGTTTTGTCGTGCTGGCTGTATTAACGTTTTATGATGGATGAATAAATAATCATTGCAATTTGCGGATCTCCTTGCAGAAATATGTGTTTAATCTTCGCTCCAATAGATGCAGAAAACTTAAGAAAGACAGAGTTCCTTGGGGAGGATGTAATTTTAACTCGAGTATCATATCTGTAATCTTTTCTTCTTTGTAAGAAAAAGCAGCGAATCACATCGGGCAAGTTCGTATTTACCTGCTATCAGAAATAATCACGTACACGTGTTGTAATTTTCTTTTTGCTACGAGAAAGTTTTTAATGTATTGTACGTGTACTTCCTTTTTTCTTTTACTGTTCTTCTGGTCTAAACGAAAGTTCCTTTTTTTTTAAGTAGAGATTTCGTTTACATTATTCCATAAACGAATTCTAGCAAGTAATATAACTTTCAGGAAGGAGGATGCATTCGTTGTTTAGAAAATGAACTTGACGTTACGTTAGTCATCATACACTTTCTCATGCGTGTTACTTCAAAGTTTAGAACGAAGGAAGACTCGGTCGGATGCTCAAAGTTTCCGTGCCCTTTTATTCGCTTTACCTTCATGTTTTACAAAATCTCTTAATTTAATATCAAAGAAAAGTCTGTCGCTGAAACTTCGTACAAACTCTACTGCATACATCTAACATAGTCCTTGGAATAACCGGGAAATCGTATGTTCTAAGATTCGCGGAAAAATGTATTATTTACTGAAATTCAATCTCATTAACTGGTTCGATTTAATTGGTAACATTTTTTAATTTGCAGTACGATTGGTTTTAAAGAAATGTTAGAGGATTTCTTAAATAATAGTAGAATAGTAGAATAACAGATAATACGTGTAATTATTCAAACTATATAATTAATGATCTGACTTTTACCTAATTATAATAACACACTACGAGCGATAAGAAATTAGCATGTAATTAATATTATTTTCTATCAGATTATTTAACAGTCCAGAGTATTTTGACTAAATTATTATTCTATACAGCGGAAAATAATAATATCGTTGGCGTCTGGAATTGAAATTATTTCTCGAAATTGCCTAGAAATGTAATTTCCTCGTCGCGTCGGTCAACCTCTATACAGCAGGACCACTATTTTGCAATTTCTGCTACTGCGAGTATGTTTATGCAGACAATTAATCGATTACTGTGTATTCATCGAATAATCGACGTACAAGGGAGCATGCTGTCTGTGGCTAACGACTACACAGGTACAAAGCTGCAGTATAACTTCGGTCGTCGATAATAATTACCGTGATTTTCAATGCAGACCGGTCTGCCCCTATAGTATGATAATTATACGATAAAATATCCGACCCCATGTGTAATAACACATTTGGGCCCATTCAAATTCAGATCTTTTCATTGTGACGTTAAAATGAATTATATAGAATCAAGGCGTTAATTAAGATCTTGTGAATAATTCTGTACCAACTTATCACTTATTTATCGTTGTTGTTTTTCGATAACACGAGATAGCAGCTCGTTAAAATAACAAGGACGCGTATGTACGTAATTTTACGTTTCCTATCTTCATCTTTGCTCTTTAAAATACATAACGTGTAATTCTAAATACACTTAAGATATTTCATTAATTTACTCTGTTCATCGAGATATCGATATGCATTGAAAAATTTAGCTAACTATTACGAAAGAAATTTTGATCATTGCGCGAATACTAGGTGACCTATATTTCACTTCCTTTCAGAATTATTATAACGAGTAGTATTTACAGAGAGAAAGTCGAAGACGCAAGGGAAGACACGAACGAGAACGTTTAAGCTTTTACAATGGTAACTATGATATTTAAAAAAGCGAATGAAAATTCCGCATTAACCACCACCACACTCTACCTTATTTTCTTTTCGTTACTAATTTTTCAAATCAAGTTTACAAAGAGATCTTTCAACTTTAAACACGTTTCAGCAAACACTTCTCCAAATTCTTAGAAGACCGATAGGAGAATAACAGAATAAAACGGACCATTAATGTAACAATCGCTATGAAGATTAAATACGATACAGATGGAGAATGATTTAACTGGAATATAAATCATGTCGACCGGCAAATCTATTTCCGCTAATCCACTCTGTTTTTCTTCAACTAATATTGCCTCGTAAATCAAAGTTAATACCAAGCTTTCCTCCGATAAATTAAGACGAATTCCGCCTGTAGCTGATAACTTACTCGATGTTGGAAAAGGATAAAAATAAGAAAATGTCACGCACATGAAATCCAATGGAAAGTTCGTAATTTCGCGTTAAAGGTTCACTTCCGTCCAACTTAATCGATAAATTCAGACCAATTTTAAATTAATCTCATCCTCATCGCAGTAAGATTGACGGTAACGTCACGATGAACCTTATCGTTAAACGTTGCTTTAATTAATTAGAACGGATTACACTCGTAGTTTATGTCGTCGCGTTCAGATCGCAGTTAGGAAATTTAACTCGTGGAATTATTGTCATATCTCGTTAGAGACGCCGCCGCAGTTAGCAAAGGATTTACATCGTTCGTTTACCCGCACGAAATCCTTCGTTCGTGAAATTTCAAACCAAATGTCTGGGATATTAAATCCCAGAGTTGTTCTCTGTTACGAGTTCAACTTGTTACGCGAATACGAAAGCTCGTATATATATTAGAATATATTATAATTATGTTGTATTATATTTTAATAAGTATATTATACGAAATATTTTGGAATTTCACTAGCAACTCTACGAGATGTTACGAGACTCGATTATTTTTATGGTTATATTACAGTTTGAGACAGATTTGAAAATGTATATAGAAGCTGCAAAATATTTAGTGCGAATATATATTTCCCACAGATTACAAAAATATTTCAACAGTCGATTATTTGTTACATTAATAAGCCTCGATACATTTTCAAATTGATTTCAAAGTTCACCGATATGATCATCACAGTCGCGTTTCATTCTGATCCCAGTGAAATTTCGAAATGTTTTATGGAACAAGGAAGTCGCTGAGTGAAAAATGCGAGAAGACAAAGACGGACAGTCGGTAATAGTTAATAATGTCGGCAAAGTTTAAACAAGGACGCGGCATGTTTCGTGCTTGATATCGTACGGATTAAAAGCGAGGCAGAATGATACGAAGGAGGTGACAACACGATGTAATAACACGAAGAATGCATCATGTTAATGGAATAACGCGAGCAGATAAAATTTCCCGTCTCTCTGCCAACCTCTTATTTTGTCCGTGTTTTCACTGCGCTTCCGATCCTTGTCGCGTGTGAAATGTTTTCGCAGTTTAAATGGACGTTAAAAAGCTTCCATTGTTTTTCTTCTAGTTCCTCTTCAATAGACGGACACCATGCGTTTATTCCGCGCATTAAAATACCTTTCATCGGATTAGAAAACTGTTCTCCAATTTTCTGTTTCGCTTCTTCTCGATGGATCCTCTATGGGTTTGATCAATTCTCGGAAAAATTTAGTTCAGCGGTCTACTTCCTCCAGAATCGAATTACACGTTACCATTTTCCACATGCATACCGCGCTTCGTTAAATTTCAGTGTTTATCACATCCACTACGTTTCTCGGTGTTGTTGTGCCTGTTCGAGTTTGTTTATATTTTTCGTTCTTTTTTTCTGGCAGGGGAAGAGATCGATTTTGTAACTTTCAGAGAATTTTTTGCGATTGTGTATTCCGTGTTGTGCGAATGTATGTTGTATTTACGTGGATTTTATATTGTAAATAATTCTTGAACAGTTTAATGATCTTATCGCGTAGAATATCATTGGAAGAGTAATTTTAATAATTGGAAAGTACGAGGTATTCGTATCGATCTTATCGGTAATTAACATTTCGCTTGCTTATGAGCGTTCAATGAGAATTAATAATTCCTTACAATTTTGTTCGTCGATTTAAAATCTGACAGATAATAATACTACGATGGACGAGTAAAATGAAACTGAGAAACTGTAAATCGCAGGCGTGTGATGCGATATTCGCAGGAATATTTATGCAATGATATTTCACAACATCGAAAATAAAATATATTCGTACGGGTATATATTTTACATGCGTACAAGCGTAGTAGCTGTTTGTCACGCTGTATTCTGAATTATTCTCCCGAACGATTAAACTATCGGTTAAACTATCCACCCTTTATGAACAGTTACTCCTATGTACGAGCCTATATAGCTGTAGCCTATATATTACTTAGTAGCCCAGCATTTACCATTCTGACATGCAAACCAGCTTCTATAACTCTAGCCTTCAAACGCAACAATAGCATTGTACCGTTGAAAAATTGTTTGCCTCGATACCCTCTATTATTTCGCCTGTAACGAAATAATGGTTAGCTTTCGTTTCTTTTTCATTCTCGAAGCCACGATTAATTAAAGTTACGAAATATTCGGACGGCTGGCGAGACGGCTCTAACGTATCTGATTGTATTATTTGTAATTTATTTCTATAAGATAATAAATGTTGGCGCGAATTCGCGTCGCTTAATTTAAGGATATATTATAGCAGCGTAACGAGAATGCAGATATCGGCGATGTTTCAATTAAACTGACTGAAATGGGAGGGAAAATTTATAATCGGATTCGTAGTTTCGCTAACAAGTAGAAACATATTGCAACAGGTCACAGTGTAATCACCTTGAAAAGGCCCTCGTTAAAATTGGAAACAAAAAGCACGATATTTCTCTGTATTCTACGATAACTTGAATTCGAATTCTCGTTAACGAGATTCGATGTTAACAACGCTATGTTGAATAAACAATTGTAATCTCACTTACGATTCCGTGGTTATCGTGATTGTTAATATAACAGTATAATTGGATTTTTCAGGCCATTTAATGAACGATTGTTCTTCCTTGTATTTTCAAGTACTTCTATTCGTGGAATTAACAGAATATAAAGTTCGATGCTTATTTACGTTATTAAGGATTAGAATATCGTATATATTGTTTTCAGGGATACTAGTAATTACAGAGGCGATCAGTGTCATGTTCATCCTGCATTGAATTGTCTGAGACAGTTCTGTCAAGAACAATATTCTACGTAACGAGATCACGTGTATTTGCATTCTTTTGTATTCAGGCTGGCCAGATAAGGATCGTAATGAAATTCTTCCTTCTTTTTTCTTCCTTTGAAACTCAAGTCTCTCCTTGTCTTAACTCGCTTGTCGTTTCATGGACCGTGAATGCACAAAAAATTGCATTTTATATCTATCGTTACATTTCAAACGCATATAAAGAAACTGGAGAAAAATTAGAAGATCGAATTGCTTTTTTACGCTTTTGGAAGCAGAAGATGATCAACAAAGCTCGTCCTCGTTACGAATGTCCTTGAATTAATACCAATACTACTATTAAATGGAGGATATTTCGAGGTGCACGATTAATCCCTAAATAAAAGATCAATTGTTCGTTGAACTAAATTAATGATTAATGATTTTAAGGACGATATATTCAGTAAATAATCGCAGTTTCAATAATAATTCTGTTATTGTCGCGATCGTTCATATAGTAGAATGGTCCATAATTTCGTGCGTTCTTGTAATATATTAATTGTGCTATCTTTTCGAATGGACAAAGTAATATGTCACTTTGTAGCCCTTAAAACAGCATTAATTAGGCAGTAGGAGCAGCAAAGAAAATTTCATAGTGTTTGAAGTTCGCTTCCATTAGCGACGCGAAGGTACAGGAATTTTCAATTTTTCCATAGTCCTTCCCAAATAAATAACGAGACAGAATACAATTAATCAATCAAATGAAATATGTAATATCAAAGAGTACAAATTGGAGGCTACAAAGTGTTACAAAATGGCACATTACACGCGTTGGTTCCAAAAATAGTACAGAGAAATATATTGAAAAGACGTATTAAAACTTCTAAGCCATCCAGTAGTATAACCAAATTTTTCCAACGACACGATCAGAACGAAAACTTAAAAAATCAAGATATGCAGGCGATAAAACATATACGCGATATAGCCTTGCATCTCTCGAGACGAGAACGTATCTCGGGACGTACAGATTCTCCTATTCAAATGCTGATTTCCTCTATAATCATCTATTCCTCTGATGTTGCACGAAGCATATTTTTTAACATTCGTTCTCTTCTCGTTTTTCGTCTTCGGAAGCGGAAACTTCTCGATTCAGTCGCTCGAGCCGTAACGATGTAACTCATCTGAAAATTTTCCAGTGACGCGGATCAGCAATTTCCAGCGTATCAGTCGCGAGGCTAGTCGTTGACGAGAAGCGTCTTCTCCTTTGCAGACGACCCGAGTACGACCATTTGCATGTAAATTTCTCCCACGAACTGACGAGTAAACTCACCGGCGAAATTGCGATACTCCGCCGCGTCATACAGCGAGAGAATTTCATTCAATTCGTTGAAATATAGCAGCGTTGAACGCTGGCTAGAAGGATCTCGACAGTCTCTAGCCGCCCAACCTCGTTTTCATTCTTTTCACCAGTTAGTTGTTCTTGACGAGTATACTCGTCGTGAAAAATGTGACAATGTTTGCGTTACGACCAGCTCTGTCAGTAATAAAATTAAACGATACAACAGTGATTTTGTTACAACTTAATTCTTTTCAACATTTCGTTACAACAGTCACACGTGCTCTGTGCTTGACGAGTATACTCGTCGTTGCTTACTTTTTCCGAGACAGTTTAAGTACGAATTTACATACTTTTCAAAGAGATCGCAACAACTGGCTGGTCATTAATCGTTTCCCTTTTGATAGGCGTCCCGGTGTACCTCGAAGACGCTTCAGGTTTTAACGATGCTCCGTTTCGTTTTCGCGACACCGTTTCTAGTGTCGAGCAATATCGACGTTTGTCTGTTTCGTTAATTACCATTTTGACTTTCTCGACTCTCGAGAAGGTATCATCAGGCCGGTCAACGAACTCGAACGCATTTTATCGAGCGTTGGTGTAGCTTCCTTTACGACTGTGTGGTGAGAAAATGTAATGAGCTTTTCGTAATTGTAAGAGAGTCGGTGTGTGCGAATTGGAAAATTGTTTGGAAATTTGTTCTTGGGGTAACTTGTTCGATAGATTTTATCAGGAACTGGCAGGTTTCCTAGAAGTATTTGCAGAGAGAAGTTGCAAATAGTTTGGCAATTTAGATTTTTCAAAGTCGAAGAAGAATTTTGATGTACATATTCATAAAATTGTTATTTTCGTTTAGAAAGTTTGCTCGTTTCCATCGAGTGACTCGTTCTCTAGATTTTACTGGAAGTCGCTGCTTTTTGGAAGAAAAGGGAAAAGAAATGCTCGAAGATCGAAGATTCGTTTTGTCAAAAAGTAACAAGAACTTAAGATCGATCGATCGTTATGTAACAATTGTACGTATGTAGCAAAGTAATTACATTTATTACGTCAACGCGTATTTAACAGGTAGTCAAGTTACCTGCCAACAGAAAATTACGTTTTATCGCGGAAATATTGATTTTAGACACCACTTTAATTAACCATATTTCACTCCTCTTAGCAACTATCCAGACTCTTTCAAGTTTCAACTAAATATTTACCCGTTAACGCTCCAGCACTCTAACTATAAATATATAACTGCGCACTGTTTTATATCCAACCAAAAATGCAAAAAAAGAAGAAACAAAAAGAAAAGAAAGGAGCAAAGATGAATAATATCAAGATAAACCTTGTCTCAAGCTCTTTCAAGCACGTATAACAAAACAAATTTTGCCTAAACCAAATTAATTCCTTTCGAAATTCTGTTCAATCTTTTCGAAATTACTTGACTCACCCCCTGCTGCCCATAAAAAAATCCGACCAGTAACCAACACGTGACCAACAACGATCGTGAACAACCAACGCTATAACCGATATGCCGATACAACAAGTAGCTACTTGAAAATCGCTCGAGCTAAACGTATCCACTGGAATTTCTCTTCCTATCAACTGACCTGTTACTCCGACAGATTCTTCATTCGTTCGCGTCGCGAGTGCGTATTTGAAACTTCGACCGCACTTCTTTCTCACTTTTCATCGGCGAGAAAATTTCCATCGTCACGTGCGTCGAGTTAGGTCTCTTCATGTTGTCCGTGGTGGAAAGCTCGCAGCGTTTACGCAAAGTCTTACAAAGTATCTCGCGAAAACGGTTAGGGTGTCGAGGCCGATGAAAGTTACTTTGGACGGTAAATCGTAGAAAAGTTTCGAGTCGTCGTCGTCGTCGAGTGTTTCGGACACTCTCGTTCTTGATTGGAAGCCGAGCGAGCGATGTTCACAGCACGAGAGTCGCGCGAGGACTGTCGGGCAGGACCGGTTTATCTTGCGCATCCTCACACTCACAGTTTCCGCCTCTGACACCCTCTGCGACCGTCTTCCTCCCTCAAGAGGGACACGCATAGCGATAGAATCTGAAACGATTCGTATATGCGACGTGCTCTGATAAAAAGGGTTTAAGATGCGAATAAATCGATTTTGATTCCATCGTGTCTTTTTTTCTTTTACTGGTAAGAGTATGCTCTCTGTGCTAGCGAGACCAATCGCCATTTCCTCGAACAATTGTCATTCACTTTACAAGTCGCGCCCATCTTTCACCCGACAGCACGATAATTACGATTGTTTAATAAATGGTATTCGATATGTTCTACCTGGTAAACAACATTTAGTGGATTAAAATCTCGACCAGACTCGAACTCGTTGCAATTTCGATTTCACGCGCGTCTCGTCAGCGATTCGAGCGTCTTCCTGTTAAAATCCATCGTACCGTTAAGATAATCTCACGCGAAATAACCACGCGTCACTCCTCTATGTCATTTCGAGCGGTTTGATTAAATCGTCGTTCGACTAGTGTCGATTTGTTTTATTTACAAATAACTGCCTCGTAGACCGGCGCGATTTTAATTAATCGGGATAAAAGCGAAGACTTCATCGTTCCGCTTCTAGTTTTATGGCTTTCGACAAAACCGTTTCCGGTGAACAGATAGAAGCGATTTTACGTAAATATTCCATGGAAATCGTCGGATGCGCTGCGTGAGCGCGGGAGATGCATTTTATCGGTCCCTTTTCCGACATCAAATTTACGATACCATAACCGAATCTTATCTGTCGTAAGCTTTTTCGAATACGAAGAACTCAGGGCTACGCGTTACGATCCTCTTGGGGAAGATTCGATCCCTCCCTCGGTAATACACCGTAGGATAACTGCGAAAGTAATCGACGAATAACCCGATAGACGAGTCTGAAAACGTGATTCATGTGTTTCCTCAATTTTCCTAGATTTATTCTACGGAATATTCGTGGCGTTAACTCTTTCGGTGCGGGCTCAAATCGACAGCGCGTCGCGATAACACTATGATAGTGGATGAAAGAATAATTAGATAGTAAGTGGTGCAAAAAGTAGCATAATTTTACCGAGCAGAATTGTATTTGAAAATAGCGATGAATGTACGTACGTATGTATTTGACAATAGAGCTAAAAATGGCTAAAATATGCATAAATATGAATAAATTACATAGTAACTTTAAGCTTACTTTTGTTCGCTATTGAATGGTGTAAAATTTGGAAAGAATTATTATTTGCTACTGATATTATTTATTTATTTATTGATGCACATCGACTAATGGTCGTTGATCAGTTGGCTGTTTTTGACGAGTATAGTCGTCATGAAGGAATGGCAATATTTTGCGTTACGACGAGCCATGTCAGTGATGAAATTAAAAAATAAAACAGCGATCTCCTTGCAACCTGATTCTATATTAGAACAGATACACGTATTCTGTGCTTGACGAGTATACTCGTCGTCGCTTACTTTTTGCGACACATTTTGGGTACACTCTTTTCAAAGAAATGGTTTCGTGTTGTCTTTGAATATAATTATTCGACTATTGGTTAATTATTAATTATTAACCTTATTGTTTAATAATTATAAAATACAAATTTTAACGATGTACAGCTTCGATAGTTGATTGGAGTTGGATTTTCGTTAAATCACTTGGAGAACTTGTAGATACTACTTCGATGAATTTATTTTAATTAAACGAAGTTTATCATATTCTATGATTCTCGTAATATCGCGTATAATGCAAGACATTGAAATACCTTGAATTTCGATGAGAAAGAATTGAAAAATGTTATGCTTAACGAAGGAAATTCTACTCTCACAGAATTCGTGTTTTATTGAAAAGTTATTTCACGATATAATAAACGTACTTTATAAACTAACTTTACTATCTTACGATTGATCGTTTTATCATCACGTTTCAAGTAAAATATTGAAACATTAAACGCGTTCATCCGTACATAATGGGATACATTTTTTAATTTAGAATTGTAATTTGCAATGCTATAATAGCTAACGACAAAGCAAATTCGTACGATAGTAAATTTAATATCCGACATTTAAATAGCAATTTAGTACCCAACCAGGATTAATGTCCCGTTGTTCGTGCCAGAACTTTGTAATTATTACTCTCCAAAGTTTATAATTAATTACACTTATCTAATCTGATCAAGCACGTACTAGAACTTGGCGTCGATTGTTTCCAATCTAATATTATATGGCACGTGTTTGCATATTTTTGGACATTACATTAGGAGATCGCGAATGTACGGCAAAGGTTTATTTGAAATTCGTAGAAGGTTCAATCGAGAATCGTTAAATTTTTATATGTATAGGCATGCGAGGAACGATGGACGAGGATAAAATAGCATGTTTGAAGTAGAATTAACAAATGCATAGATCAAACGATAAGTTTTATTCAATTTCTCGTTTGCATATTTCCGTGGAAGATTCTAATTTGTAGATTGAAATTTTATTTGTTTTATTTATTTTATGTTATCCGTGTCATTTTTCTATCGTCAATATCGTTTTTCTATCATCAAAAACGATATTCGACAAGTTTTTTATCGTCAAGGTTTCAAGAATTTTAGTTTCAATGCTGTTTCGTTGCTATTTGTTTTCCTTTAATATGGAAAATCTTTACCTGGAATGTAAAAATTCGAAAACCATAGCGGAATCAATTTTCCAAGTGACGATTGAATTGCTCGCAGAGGTTTTCATTAAAAGTATGCCGAGTGGAATTAGTTTGTTATGCAAACAAAATTGAACTTGCGTAAAAGTTTATTACGATGATTAAAATGTGCGATAAGGCTTCGAGCTGTACTTTGTTTTAAATTAAACTTGTTGTGTGTCAAGGTCACTTCTTATTTTTATTTATAGTCCGTTTAGAGGTTCTCGTAAATATATATCTAATATTCTATATATTGTATAATTGTATTGGAGTTATAACACTGTTACGTAAAATTGATATTGGAAAGAGAGTCAGAAATCGAATAATTAAAACGACAAATATTTGATGTAAAAAAAAATGTAACGAAGAAATTTGGGTCGATATTAATTGAATAGAATTAAAATTAATTATGGATCCTATTCTAAATAATAGGAATATTTCTTTTTTTAGATTTAGTCCCAAATGAAACATACGATTAAATTTATAAAGGAAATTTAAATTACGAAAAAGACCCGAGCCATAACGTTGTAAAGCTTTACAAAAACCACGTCCCGTTTAATTATTCGTGAATAATCCAATGAAACCAGAATACAAACGAACGACATTCCCCAATCATTAAAATACAAACAGCAGTAGTGCACATTTATAAACTCTCAACAATTCCGTACAAACTATTTGAATAATGGCTTCGTTCATATTAATTCTTATTTCTCTGCTTTTTTCGGGTTTTTCTTTACCACTAACAAGCATCAAATTTTTCCATTTTTCCTCTGAATCACCCGTTAAACAATCTCGCGTGAACCACGAAATGCATTATTTTTTTCACCATAATGTGTATAAATCCCATAAACTCGATGCCGTCTATTTTTTAACGCTGTTCCATTCGCCCGTCCTTATAACAGCGGCGATATCGATTAAGCATCGTAGCGTATAAAAACAAGTCGGATCAGAAGGCGGCGTAAATATTTTTACGATTTCCCAGCCATTTAATTCGAACGATATCCCTTGGAAATATCAGTGTCGTCCGATATTTATGGCACATACGCGTGCCAGTCTGATTTCTACTAGCCGCTACTACTAGATGTAGCCGAGTTCGTCTGAACAGTAACGAGATATACTACTGACGAGTTTAACGAAGCACGAATTACTGCAGGCCCGGGAAGATGATTAATGACAAATGAGGCGGGCAATAGGGGCACGCAAATAATGTCATCTGTCTGTCGTTTATCGTCACGCGTTCCTATATTGTTTTATTTGTACATACCGACGTTTTTGACCGATACACGTGTAGTAACCGGTGGATTCTTAGAGTAAGGACAAGTGATGATGGTAGAGTTTAAAGTTTAAGGTATTTTAATAAGTGATATTTAATAACAAAAGGACAGACTACAATATCGTCGTACGCCGACTCACACTCCGTATCCGCTCAGCTCGCACGCTGCTTCTCGACTGACTCTCTCTGGCCGTTTTTGCACTCTCTTGTCTTTTGCTAGGCCCACTGCACACGGGATCTACAGACGCTCGTAGCCAGGGTCACGTAGGTCTTTTCGGCAAAGCTATTTACCTGAAGGACCAGGTAATGCATTGATGGAGCCGACAGCGCCTCGGCTCTCGCGACATTGTCTGTAGTTAGCTCGACGTTTCCTGGGCCCTTCTCCCCGATACTATACACGTTATCCGTACGGCTGTGTTGGGTCTATCAGAAACAACGAATCAGATTCGCGTCCCTTTGACTAGTAGTCATCCTTTTAGCTCTACTATGTTCTCCATCAATCCATTAATCGTTTCTTCGTTTTATAATCGATCGCCGAGATTCTCTTGGCCACTGTTGTCGGTTAAAATCGTTCGTCCGTCGTGGAGGAACGCTGGTGAATACTTATTTGTATTCTATTTTATTTCTTGTCCCTGTGTGTTTCTTTTTATCGCATTGAAACGAAGACGCGGAACGACATCCTTTCCATTTGGAGGTAAAATTTATTTTAGAAGGATTCCTCCGCGTATCTGCAGAAAGCTGTTACATCACGCAATTGGTACGATTTCTGCAGTTACGCTTGTAATTGGAACAAAACGTGCGGAATATGCTCTACTTTCTATTGCTTCGTTAAAATGCACACATTGTACGATATTTTTGTATTAGAAAAATAGTTACACGTTAAATGTTCAGCTTGAAGTTCGAAGCTTTCTCGAGCGAGGCCTGTTGATTTTCTCGGAACTTCGTTCGTTTCAAGTCAACCGTTCGCTACGAACACTTGAAAAATGTACTAACAATATCGTCGATTCGTTTCGTAAAGTCGCAAGCATCGTCTGCACGGTACTGCATCTCGTAACTAATAAATTCCACGATATTATCTGGCAAAGGTCATTGCAAAAGAAAATGCCAGTCCATTTCTCCCATAATTACCCTACGTGTAGTTCAATAAGTTGGCCAATTGGAAGCTCCCCCCTCTTCCATTTTCCTCGAACCGAACAAGATCCCTCGTTCATAGTTTCTCGCTCGTTTAACGAGTGTCTCTTCCGCCCCTTATCTCGGGTAACAGTAATCCTTGCTATCGTGTGGTCGTCTGGAAAAGAGGCAATTTCTGAGGACTCGAATTGCGCGCGTAGTGACCTCGTCAAAGCGAGGTCGGGATTTAGAGGGTGTGAGAGAAGCTTTGGGGTGCGGCGTGCGTGACATGCACCTTTCCACGGTCGTTTTATATTTCACCAAGCGAAAGCTGGCGCGACGCGAATGTCGATCGGAACGCCAAACGGCGAAATAAGTGGCCGGACTTTTATATATCGTACACGCGTTGCTCATAAATGAGAATTATTGCCGTGGTCGTTGGTGCATCGGAGATAATACCGAGAGAAATATCGCCAGCGTGGACCTTTTTAATTTGTGTCTTTCCTTTTCTTTTTTTATTTTCGCCCCTCTTATTTCCCTCTTCTTCTTCATCTCGTCCGCTCGATTTTATATCTTGCGGTTAACGTAGCCGTGGAAAGATGTGACTAACAACTTGAAACTTCGAAGGACTGAAAGTTTGTTTCAAGCAATTTTTACGTCTTCGTTCAAAGAATGCGACGCAATATGCTGTAGTTTCTACTTAAATTCTCCAACGACAAATGACATAAAGAGGCGCGTGTGTGTGTATGTACGTGGAAGTGAAATTTTAGGTGAAAGAATATAGTTCATTTTTCAAGGGATAGGAACAACAATAATCTTTTAGAACGATCAACAGGCTAATTTTGCGAGATCTATTTTACGTGAAATAGTAGTGGGCTGACCTGCGCCACTATGATCCTCCATATCGGTAACTGTTTCTTCATCATTCTAATATGTTGTTACGTATATAACGGTGATCTAATACAAACTATTGCGAAACCATCGCAACTTTTCGCGTCAAGAACGCTCTATCGATAAAGCAATAATCGAGGGAAGCGGCGAGCGTCCTAGATTACTGTCACTTATGACGTTGGCTCATCTACAATATTACGGCTAGCTAATGGATACACGAACGCGTCTCGTTATATCGAATATCGCTTATCCAGCTGCGCGACCAATTTCGTTGTTTAAATGTTGATATTATGTCACGAAGAACGAAGAAAAAAGAAAAAGCTGACGCCAGGACAATTTCAGACGGTCGAGTTCACTTCTCTGGCGAGTCTTCGGTTCACTTCTGCTCGAGTATCGATTCGTTCGAGTGCTCTGTTTATATTCTTATATCCCCGTATTACGCTTCCTGCGACACGTTTTTCCTTTCTTCATATTTTTTCTATTTTTAAACTTTTTACCTTTCTCTTTCTCAAATCATTACCTGGCTCCTGACGTCGATCGATTGATACGATTTCCGGGGGTTTGCTCGCTCGGCGAACACGTTGCCCTTGGTTACAGCGTTTTACAGTTAATGGTGTTTACATTTTACGTCGACGTTGATTTCAATTTGCCCGAAGCGCTTTCAACATGGTGGAGACGATTGAAGGGGTTGAGTAATTGACGTTGACACGTTGGTTTGATACGGCCAGGAATTAAAAGAATATTTCACGGATTCCATCGAGAGGCGATATTTTATGAGGCGAGAAGTTTTCCACAGCCAAGTTTCTTCCTTTGATTTGATTACGTACAGCAGCTCCGACATTCGCCGATGTAATGAATTGTTCGACGAGCGAAGAAGTTAATGGCATTTTCCTAAAATTGAACATCAAATTTTGTTTCGTAAATAATGTTATTTAATAAAGGAAGAAAGAAAAATGAATTGCGACTTCCGTCGAAAAATTTATTTGTCGAAAGTGGTGGTGGTGATCGAAAGGTCCATCGATAAAAGAATTAGATGACAAAGTTCACATTTTACATTTTCTTTTGGGTTATTCGATGGAATGTAAGCTATTTATCCCTGGTTTTTCATTTAGATGTAATGCTATGTTTTATTAATATTCACTTAAAATTTAACGAAGAGGAAGAAAATTTCTGAATGAATTATATCTGAAATATCTTCTATGACAACTCTTCGGTCATGTTAATTGCTGTGAATTATCCCTTGTTATAGAGCTATAATTTTCCCAAAGAATATACTCTCGGCCTTAATATAATTTTCATTTCTTCAAACAAAAGAAAGCTACATCGTTTTTAAGAAATTCCAATTTCTGTCATCAGTTACAGTCTCATCGATTTATTCTCTAATACATTAACAAGCATGATCCTCCAACAATTGAAAGCTACTATATATTTCGCTCGAGAAATTTCAATTTCTGTCAACGTTACGGTCCCACCGTTGTATTTTCTGCTACATCAACAAGTATGGTTTTTACAACATCAGAAACCTACATATATTCCGCTCGAGAAATTTCAATTTCTGTCAACGTTTTATGGTTCCATCGTTTTATTCCCTGATACGTTAAGAAGCGTAATTTTGACGAAAAGTGCATTCAATTTTAATGCGCGTTATAAATTTTCCTATTTCCTTTCACGCTGTATTTGACAAATATTTTAATTTCTGCCAACATTATCGCTCTTTACCCATAATTCTCCGCCAGGGATATTTCACCCTGTAGCTGTGCTACGCTTTTCGAGATCGAAACAACCGAAGAGGCGAAGCTCTCTAGCGGAAAGAGCTTTTAAGCCGTCTTTTCTTACAAGACGGACAGAAAAATCGTCGTCATAGGGTCCTGAATATTCCGCAAGACTGCGAAGGGTCGTTAAACCCTCTTATTCACGGGGTTTCTAGATGTTCCTGGTAGAGTGCGCGCGTTCTTTCCTACCTCGTATAAATACGTTTTCTTTCATCCACGGGCTCGCCACAGGAAATAGGCTTCACGCAACGACCACAGGATTAGATTCCTCCCACTTAGTTGATATGGATGGATCCTGGAAGTGGTTTCTCTGTTTCATTTGCGGCGGCTGACGTTCTAAATAAATTCATGTCGATACTACCGGCGAATTCTTACAGTAACAGAAGCTGCAACCGTTTCGTTAATGGGATTTTTCAACACGATTAATGTTTCCAACGAGACGCCGTGTACGCCGGGTGAATTTATTTGCGAAGCTGGCAAACAGAAATCGAAATAGGACAGAGAAATAGAATATGCGAGTAAAACGCAACGGTATTCCACCGAACGGAATTAAAGTACTATTTGCGTTATAGAATTTATGTTATGAAACTGGGGAAAAAAAAAAGAAAATATATAAAACCAATGAAACTACTGGCCAGAGATTTATTTTCGGATTTGAATTTAAAATTGGAAGAAAGAACGGGGGAGATATATTCAACAGATTCGCCTTTCCCGTCAACTACGACTAATTTCTACGATATTACACGTTGTGGACAACGTTTGAACTTGCATGAAAAGAGGAACAGTATTCCGTAAATGTTCAAAAAAAAAAAAAGCAAATTTAATGATTCGCACGAGTGTGAATTTTGCCAATGACGGATTACACGTATCCTTCTGTATACGTATTATTACAGCGTAATGTATGGCACGCATCAAACGAGCTCACGTTTTCATCGTAACAAAGCTAATAACATTTCCAGACTTTCCACATCGTGAAAACGTCACGTAGTAATGGAAAATTTCCATTTCGCTGAAACAACCGGACGTGCTATGATAATAAGAAGGCCGAATTTATGCATGAATAATACATCGGCAAATCATCGGCACTGAAAATACGTTTTATTGCACAAGACATCCGCTATAGCTACAGTTGATTAGAATAATTCATCTTTATCCTTAATTTCGATCGTTTTCTTATTACTTGCATCGTTTAGCTACGACCTTCGCAACATTTCAATCTCTGTTCTCGTCAAAGATATTCAAACAAAAAGCAGGAATCTTGAATAAGAAAAGAGCGTGGAATTCCTTCGAGGAATCTCGAGGATCGATGAAGCCGGAAGAAATTCTTTCTTCGTTTGACGAATGCTTTGCGCTCTTCGCCAATACAGTGAATTGAATTCACGCGCAGACTGCCAGTGCTTTCCCAAGACTGTGATATTTCTCTTCGATCTATCTACTAATTACGATCTTCGTTCGACGATTCCGCGCCCACGTGTCGCGCACGAGAAGAGAAAACGACGTTTTTGTTTGGCTCGTTCGGCGTTAAGATAGTCGACGGTTGCTCGTCAAGTAGCTCGGCGGGAAGCTCATAGAAATCAATTTGGCCTCGTTGATTGTTTCATCAAACAGTGGTGAGAGCGTCTCTTAGAAGATTTCTCAGCTCCGCGATCTCTTTCGTTACCTTCTCCACCTCGTTCTCCTCCATTTTTTTATCCTTTTTCCGGAAGTAACGCTGTACCAACTGGGACATCACTATCGAGAACTCATCGTTGTTTTCCTCCGTTAAAGTTTCCTGCCAACAAGTAGAGAATGCACTGCTCTTAGCGGCAAAATATATTTGAAGATCGAAGGAAAGAGGAGCATCATAAATACGTTTTTAAAGATGTAATTCTTTTCAAATTAGCCGACAGATTGGCGATGTTTTGTAAGGTAGCCAGGGTAATTTAAAGGCGATTTAATTATTCTAATTTTATTACGACAAATGGCATTTTTTAACATTGTGAAGAAAATGGAGTGTAAATCAAGTAAGGGAACAATTTTGGTAATACGGAATTACCGAACTGTGAAACTTTTCTCCTGTGAAAAATGGAAAACGTGATTTATGATGTACTTCCCTTGCAGTCTTCATTTGTAACAGCAAGACAAGAGGATTGTCCAACTTTTCTTTTCTTCTCGTACCCAATTGATGCTCATTGTTATTTAAAATTCATCGTTACGTCGATTATGTTCATATTATGAAATATTTTGTATCGAGAAGAAATATCGTTAAAGGGATTGCGTGTTCTGAACAGACTAATCGAACTCAAGCTTAAATTAAAGGAGCTTGCAGCCACGAATTTAAATACATATTAAGAATAAGTTTCAAAATTCACTCGAAGTCCAGTTTAAACAACGTTAGAAGATCTTCTTCGTAAAAAGAATTTCTTAATCGATAAATGTATATTTACAAAACATAAATATGACCATAATAAATGATTCAGTGACCTGCGATTTCCTCATTTCAATATACTAGTAGAAGACTCTTGGTCACAAATAATAAAAGCAAGTTTCAGGTTGTCCCAAGAGTTTCTTCCGTTTTATAAAACAAAAATAGATGCACGATATCTTCTGTTTTATATTATTTTATTGAATCACGTATGATCCATTTTCTTCTACTGGAAATAAAAACAAAAACGTGCATCTATTATTTCCTTATAAAACGAAAGAGACATTCCATTTCGGACAACCTGATACTTCTAAAGAAGCGGTAAGCTTGTCTTCCTTCAAATTGTTCAAGATACAAAATATACAAAAACGTTATTTGTATATTTGTACTAACAGCGCTGAAACTTTTACTAAACGCTAAATTTACTAACGATATAAAAACAGTGATGTGGATCCCATCGTGCACGCTTGTTTGACGTTGGTTTCAGCCATATTTTCAGGTACTCGACGATCGGTTGAATACCAACGTACGTTGGAATAATGTTAAATGGCGGTGGGAGCGTAGTCGTGAGCATGAAATCGACGTAAGTCTGAAAAGCGGATATTTAATTAGTTTGATCCTAGAATCTACTGTTTGCGAGTTAAAAAGCAACTATCGATTGTCTTTCGAACTTCAGTTCGCCCGAATGTCCATTCCACGATCACGTTCTCTGTGACTTCCGTCAACGTGTTGGACATGCATGCAATTAGCATGTTCAGTATCACGATCACACCGATGAAGGTGAATCCTGAAAAAGAGAAATCACAGTGGAGTTATTCAGAGCACAAGAAGAGCAAAAATCTATCGTTAAATGAAAGATACTTTTGGGAATAATTTTCCAAAAATGATATAATGAAAGTTTTGTTTTAAAAATCAATAATAAAAGATAAATAATATATGTATTATTTATCTCATTTATGTTTGGAAGGTATTTTTCTCTTGATTGTGAAAATGTTAAAATTTACTTTATTTTAATACATTAACGATCCTTTAACTACCTATAAATTATACGCGAAATTCATACATATATTTCTGTTTCATTAAACTGGAAGGCAGAATGATATTTAATATGAAATTTAATTAAAGCCGTAATAAATTGTTTTGTATTCCTTTCCCATAATGTCATCCACATTTTAACGTGGTATCTCCTTTCGCGTATTTTAAATGTACTTTAATCTCTTTTAAATTTTGTATGTTACAGACTGTGTTCAGTAAAAAGATTTTAGATGTTTATTACTCATTTTCCACTAGTAATTTAAGGTGGAAAAATAGCAGGAGATTTTTTAAATATTATCCTATATCCCGCCTTCCTCCTAAAAGAAAAAATTTGCAAATTTTCCTATTCTAAGAAATTGAACAAAAATTAAAAGCAAATGTAAAGTAAATGTTAAAATTAAACGTAATATCATATAAATATACATATTTATTTTTCCTATTTTTTCCCCATTTTTCGTGAGTATTTCACTTTACTTTAGTTTTATTTGTCAGGTATTAAAACGGTACGACCATTGGTAATGTTATAAATTACAAACTACAATGTTAGAGTTTAAAGTGATTAATAAATGGAAATATCGTTCTAGAAGACAAAGACTGGAATTTCAAGTGAACTTTATCTGGATTTCCCGACGAAGCGAAAAGGAAATTTAGATAAGCGTATTACCGGCGAAGGCTATATAGCCGATAACCTCCGTGAACGTGTGATGATTGATGATGGTCTCGTTCTCCGATTCTCCCGGAAGGTTCTCAATTATCACATCAGCGCTTTCGATGGGGCTCATGCAAAAAAGTGCCCAGAAAAGAGTCTTCAAGGTGGCTGAGAAATTAACGAACGAGCTGACCTGTTGGGTCTTGATTTTCGATTCATCGTCGATTTGAACCATATCCTCGTAATACTGATAAAGTTTACACGTGCCTAAAGGAGCGACAATGACAAACAATTCCATTATTAATTTTCTACAATATCGACGAACAAATCTTATGCTTACAATTTACAGATCAGATATTTTCCAGCGTCAATTTTGTCCAACCTTACTAAATACGCCGAACTTTATCTGAGGAACTTGAACTTTCTATTTGACAAATTTTAATAAATTTCCCGAATAAATCTCGATATATTTCTATTTAACATCAATTGCTCTATTAATTCGATCATTCGTCTAATTTCAGCCCGCGAAATCGAACAATTTCTATGTCGAATATTTCCAGAGAAATAATTTTTATTTTCGGTATAAATTTAAACCGGAAATATCGTATAGATCATATACAAAGAAGAAAGTAAGCGCTGACTTATAGAAAAAGAAACTTTGATAAATTACGAGTATTACCAGCGGTAAATGCAAAAATGATTATGCTGAAGAGAATGATGAATTTGACAACGTCCTTGATCATTTGCCCGAGAGAAAGTTGAAGTGGGCCCAGATGATAGTCCAACTGACAGATGTACAATAATTTCAGGAAGGCCATTATCGTTGCCAGACAGTAAATTCCTTCGGCGATCAATGTGGGATCGTACTGGTTCCAATATTTCCTCTCCAATTCGAGCTGACCATTTATTCTCACGTCCAACGCAGCAGTTATCCAATACAGGAAGGTCAGAATAAAGAGGGATATCATGATCATCTCGAACCTGTCATCGTTTCAAATTTTTTTCGTTAAAGTGGTAATACAGAACTGTTACTAGAAAAATAGTGTGACATAATGGGATCTCGTTCGATCGAACGATCGAATGATTGACAAATTAATCAATGGAAAATTGACAATAGTTTCGCGCGAGAAGAATGAAGAAATGAGAATAGAAAATGGAAGAAAATGTTATGCTTTTGCACAAAGAAAGTTCTTCTGATATTTCGATTTTCGATTTTTAATATTTGTCAGTGTTTTAACGAAACGAAGTTACATTTAAATCACATACTTGAGATTGCATTCCAAGACTATCTATTTACATCATCACTACAAAAGCTCTATTTCCATATAATCAGTAGTTAGTCCAAAGAAAAATTCATAAAAATCACTTGGTTTCGTTGTTGTTACACAAGATCGTGTAACTCCCTTAAGTTTCCAGATTTCGGTTCGAATTCGATAATAAATAAAACAGAAATAATTGCAACTTATTTGTCCTATGCTTTTGTCGTTATATATCGTTATTAGACTGCGAATGTGTATGCAACTTTAGATTTTTTAAAATGCAACTGAAAGAGTGGAAGCTAAATCTAGATCTCTTTAACTCACTAGATATCATAGCATGCGCTGTACATTGGACATTTTATACGTATCTTTGCATACTATCTGCATTCTGTATATTTTTACACTGTCAAACTTCCCATAAATCTCATAAAGAGCGCAGTCTAGTGATTATATAGAATATGACATAACTTGAGAAATCTCGATAACTTTAATGTACAAAAGCCATACAGGAGGAAGTAATACGAAGTAATGCGAAATAATACGACGTAATACGACGTAATACGACGTAATACAAAGTAATAGCAAGTAATACGATTACGAAGTAAGACGAAGATGAAAAGCGGTACGATTACGAAGTAAAACGAAGATGAAAAGCGGTACGATTACGATGTAAAACGAAGATGAAAAGCGGTACGATTACGAAGCGAAACGGAAATAAAATGTTACACGAAGTAATTTTCATTTTAAATGTCGCCCATCGACGATATGAATTTGGTCGATGTATTTAGTCGGCATACAAAGTCATACCAATACCACGGTCCAGCGAAGAATCTCTTCGGCCCGTGTATTATGCACATACGAATCAACGACCAGGCGTACGACATCACGTAAATTATCAAAACCCAGACGTATACTGAGGAAGCAGCCGGAGGTGAGAAGTCAAGGCGCTACTGTTCGATTTCTGTTCGATCTGTCGATATCAGGTAATAGGGTATACCAGAGTTAGGCGGTCCACGAAGCTGTTCGGTTTTGTCTGCGTTCGATTGAAGAAAAACGATCAACAGAAACACCAAGTAGCTGGCGGTGGAGGAAATAAACTTGTTGACCGGTGATTGCCAAAATTTCGACCTCTTTGAATTCGGAGCGACCAAAACCACTACCAGAATCACCGGTAGCATGAAGACTCGCATTAGTATGAATAAAGACTTCATCCACGGGTTCATGATCTTCCATTCGTACCAGCCGTCGATCCACTTGCTCGTAATTAACTGCAAATTGAAATTTCGTCGTGTCTTTAACCAGAGGATTAACAAATATGGTAATATTAACGTTTAACTTTTACCGGGGCTGGATGCTATTTATGCTCGTCATTATATTGCTTCATTTTCAATTGTGTATAATATATTTAGATATATATTAAAAGTCGATAATTCTTGCGATTAATATAAATATAAGTTTGGAAATGGAAAAAACTTCCTAATTTGACTAATAATCTTTGGATTTCTCTAGCGAAATATTCTTCACGTATATTTCTCGTTATTTTAAAACACCTCTATTTTGAATCGTCACGCTGTTCTCGTCAAACGATACAATTTTACTCGATAATTATGAAGACACTCTGACGTAGCTCGCATTTACAATTAATTTTTCGTCAAATTAAGAATTCTTTCGCTAAATTAACGCCATTCTTCTAAAGTACTACTACATAGTGTACAAGTATGTTTACAAAGTATTGATTACTATCTACAACCTGTTGTACATTAGGATGAGCCACAAAGGTTCTCTGCGTATTGTGCAGCGCGAACAGTAGCCTCGGGTATATAAATTTATACGAATGGGCAAATCCAGTAGACTGTTTCAAGATGACTTCTACTTCGTCCACGCTTCTGGCGCAATCGATCAGATCGGTCGCGAACTGCATCACGCTCTATGAAAACAACGACACATTCTGTTAGAACTTGTTCGATAGACGAAGGATACATTTTTATAAGAATTTCTTCCAAGAGAATGACACGTTCTACGATAAATTTATCCTAGGAGAATGGCACACTGATTAATGGATTTTTATCTTCAAAAGGAAAATAACCTCAGAGAGTTCTATGTATTCGTGGTAAAATTCTCTGACGAAGGAGGCGGCTTTCCGTAGCTCGTAAGACAAATTGAACGCTTCCAAAATCGGATCGTCGACAATTTGACATATGTACGCTGGATTTGTTACTGCCTTGTAGGAGAATAACCGCATCCTCTCTATCGCAAGAATGTCGCTCCTCTCTCGTTCGCTTCTACGCTATCGAACAAGAACATAGTTTAACTTCATTTCTTTGATCGAATCTCTTTTCGTTCTTCTTCTACGAAACTACAATTCTTCGCAGATTCTCCGTAAACGCGTAAAGATCCGCGGCATAATCGTTGGTCATCAAAATTTACAATTAAGAACAGTCTTTGAATCCAATGTATTCAGCATGAACAAATCACGATGAACAATTCAACGTTCGATTTAATTCGGACCGCAAAGCGTTAATCAGGCCCAGTTATGCAGAACCCTGTTCAACCCAGAAAATTACAAAAAGTTAGTCGAGCGTAGTATACAGATTTCCCAGGATGTTGTTATCCTTATCGCGTAAAAAATTTCTGACCCATAGAACAGCTCTTACGTTATAAAATTATTAAAATTATCAAGCTACAATCCTTTCTTAGTTTTACAGCTATTTCGCAGAAAACTTCCAAACCAGTCGGTCGGGCAAAACGAATTCTCCAATCCTCTTAAAATAATAAATCTAAAGAAAGTTATCCACGGTGAATATTTCAACATTATGAATACTTTTCCGAATCTACCGATGTTTTCGTCGATTGGCTAATCCATATCAGGGACAAAACATAAAAATTTGCGAGAAACGAGGTACCTCGTTCTCTCGGATCGTTTACATTTTCATGATAATTTAAACAGCGACGATAGGATCGTTGGAGATACAGATATCTTCAAAACGCTTTGACTCCGACGTGGACCTTCCTTCGTTAACCGAAGCCGAATTTGCCGAATAATATAATATACTCATCCACGAACAGTAAGTAAATATTTAAAATAATATTAGTTACGTTACACGCTACATTTAACAAGCCGCGAAGAAGCATCGTGGAAGAAACAGCAGAAATAAAATATACCCAGTGCGAGCGGAGCTGAATCTCGTCGAAGATGAAAATGTTTCGACTACGATTTTCTCTAACTTTCGAATCATCGTGAGTTGCTACGGGGTTCTGCGTAAAAGGGTCCGTTTACTCTTAACGTTGATTAATTCTTTTTCTTTTTTTCCCTACTTGCACTCTACGCAATTGCAGCTAGGTGGATGAGGTTTCGGAAGGAAGTGAAGCCTGTTTCGAAGCATACTGATCATCTCGAAGTGTCCGTATTGAGCAGCGATCGCCAGTGGCGTGGCTTCGTCCGGGAAATCGGCGCTTCGCGTTATACCGGCGTACTCCAATCCGGGTGACAGATCGTTCAGTTTGTTCAAAATAATCATCGCGATTTTTATCTCGTTGTCCCTGATGGCGTGTAGATGCGCGTCACTCGGATCGATGTCCGGATGAGTCAGGAGATACTCCACCATTGGCGTGTTCCTGTCACTAACCGCGATGTGAAGCGCAGTGACACCCTGAAAAAAGGCCATGACCTCTCGTTAGCGAAAAAAAAAGAAAAAAGAATCTCGTGTTTCGTTCGGGAGAAAGCTCAGAATCATTCGTGACACGTGTACCTTGTTACAGACGTATCTCGTTCGTTTTTAGCCTTCGAATTTTTACGTATCTTTCTTTCGGTGTGCAGCAGGTGCGTATAAAGGTTTGGAATTGCTTTTTTTTTGTAATCGGTGTTTTTAGTTTTTTTTTTTTTTTTTAGGGGATTTTTTAAGGTATGGTATTCGAGGATATTGTATGGTTTGATATGATACTTTGGGAATTTTTTACGAGATAGTAGGAAAAAAGTCGGAAAAGGTTTGAAATTGTTTTTGTGCCTTTTTTATGTTCGATGTTTCGTGAATGTTTTGTCGTGATAACGAGGAAAGAGATACAGTTGTCGTCGAAATGGTCTACGATTCGTATATTCATTGCGATACAAATTTTCACATATCTTTCTTTTATTTTTTCTTTTATGAGGTGCATCTGACGCGTCTCCAATTCTGTAATCTGTCACGTTACTTTCGTACGTTGAAGGTTTGCCTGCTTAATATTCACCTAGTTTGCGTTTTGCTCGATCTGAGATTCCACCTCGATGACGTCCAATACGCTTTCACTTGGCGTATTTTCCTTGAAAACGGAGGAATGACAAATTTCGACGTTTCGTCTTTACTCGCGTTCGTCAAATTTCATTCACAATTTCGTAGGTCAATAACCGTTCCTAATAGAAGATAATCTACCAAACACGTAAAAGAGGAACACAGAAGAAGAATTTTCATAAACCTAAAATAACAGGATTCCCAAGACCCTAAAAGACTCGTAAAAACCACATTCCTCTCCCTTTTATCGGTCCAAGTACCATAAATAGACACTTTTCTGCCCTTGGTCGGAATCTAATCGTCAAATTCCAGATGTATTTTATAAAGATCCGCAGTCCAGTCGCAACGTTCGTCTCTTTAATTTATAGCCAAGAAGAAGAAAAAGGTATTCGACTAATTTCTATGCACAATCAGAGAAAGAAAATTCACACATTCGTGATTCTATAGCATACATACATTGATTCCTGAAAGATTT